CCATTTATGTTTTTTCTTATCAGGATTAAATATAATAAGAAAAGGCTTTCTAGATATTCATTATAAATCAAAAATTGAACATAAGAAAAAAGGCAGGTTGGTAGTATATAACCCAGGTCACAATATTATGTGACTACTGTGCTTTGTATAACGTAGTACATGACCTTGAGATCACAGTCTTATAAAAAATATTAATACATATTGCGAAGCAATGACCCTTTGGGTCTAAAGTCAGTAACTGTTATTAAAATGGTTGGATGGTTTTTATATTTTTTTGAAAGATTATAATTTTATATGAAAATATAGATGCTTTTTATATTTTTTGAAAAATTATAATATTTCATGAAAATATATTTCATAAAATTACATAACTTTTCATGACAATTATTCAAGCCTTCTTTCTCAACTACCACCTTCATTAATAAAAGCTGGATGGATTCAGCTTACAACTCGAAAAAAAAATCCATTATCAGAAAGTGAAGCAAGTAGTATTAGCTCTATTATAGAGGCATTTTTAAAACATGAAGTTGATAAATACTAAAGAAATAAAAAATCTCAATATAATCCTACAATAGAAGTAGAGACAGAGTTTCATTGTATAGTAATACCAGTTTCAAAATCTGAAAAGTCAGGATTCGAAGAAGAGACAAAATCTCGAATCTCAGATTCTTCCTCTAATAGCTTGCTTTATAATACTAATATTGCTTCATTATACTCTAAAGAAGAGGTTAATGCTAAAGTCAAAGAAGCTAAAGATAATTTATGTCAAGAATTTATTAAATCTACTGAGGAAACCTTAAAAACTATTAAGCAACAGAAAGATATCAAATTAAAATAGATATGGCTAATCAAAGTACAAAATTATTCGAACTTACATTAAAAAAAATTATTCGAGATGGTACTATATATACTCTTATTCATTAGTTAGAAGAAAAAGATGGTAAATCATATTCTAATATATCTTGGAAAAAGTGATTTATACATTTTTCTCATATAGAAATATCTCAAACTTGTAATATATTGAATGAAATACAAGGTCTAAGACCACTAATTATTTTTTTTTAGTTTCATCTTTATTATAAACAGAAAGTGGAATAGTAATACTTTTTCCATTAACTGATGCTATAAACTTACCCTTTACTATAGGTTCCCAGCCAGCTTGATGTTGCCATCTAGTACCAAGAATAAATAATGATATATCATTGCCATTATCATCTTTTTCTGTTGGTAAAACTGAAAACTCATCTGAAATTGTTAAAGTATCATTTCCAATACCTATAATAACAGGTATATCAGAAAAGCTTCCAATAGATTGTTTTTCTCCTACAGCATCTGTTAGTCTATAAACCTTTTTTCTATCTATTTTTAACCTAAAATATTTTATAAAATGGTTTGCGATATTTTCAGAAATATATGATCCATCTGAACCTATATCAAGTAATGCATGGGGTATTTCTAAATCATATACTTTACATGAAATAGTAGTATAATTATTAGGTTCTTTTATTTGCAAAAAGTTTATTTTTAGTGGGTCAAGCCAATTTTGATATAATTGGGCTTCTTGATATTGTTTTATAGTATAATTTAGACACAAAGTGTCTTGCTTTGCAGAAGAAGAAGACCCTTCTACTTTCTCACAATAATTGCTTGAAGTTAGAGATACTGACATATCATTTTCTGATGGTTCTAAAATAAATTGATACTTTTTTATTATATTTTTCCATACTTTGTCTACTTTTTTATTCGTATAATTTTTTGAATGATATGAATAAAATGAGTCTTTCATTTCAGAAAATAATTTACTAAGATCTGTATATATTTCGGTTAGAATTTCTTTAAGATATCGAGAAATATATCTTGTTAAAACATATTTAACCGATTCTAAAAATATTTGATTTTCATTAATAGCTTTTTTATAACTCGAAGAGTCACCCCTATGGGGCTTAGTTTTTGGTTTTTTGGATTTCTTTTTTATAGAAGACTTAGAAACTCCACTTTTTTTTTTATATTAAAACAATTAGTTTCTCTATATTCAATCTCACTATTTTCTTGATCACTTTCTTCTTGG